TTCAGACATCCCATCAGTGATTTCGTGGGTGGGTGACCTTTATGATTGCCGTGCTTACATAAGAATTTTATCGAGTAGGTCTTATAGTTTGAGTGCATTGTTGTGATCTGATTTGAACCATTTGCTTCTTTATATTGGACTCGATTTTTTGTGCCCCATATTAAACAATTTCAAAATCTCACTAGGATAATGGTGTAGGGAAGATCTCATGTGAATCATAATGTGCTTGAGATCAGGATAATTGCCAAAATAATCATAAAATTATTATAATTATGTTAATTCTGTCATAAATATTTTTCTTTTATATCAATTCAGTCCTAAACATTTTGCATTTGTGCCAATTCAGTTCCTCCGATCAATTTTGGTTAACCAGCACTAACGTGGACGCCTGTCGGGCAGCCAACGTTGACGTGATAATTTTTTAATATTTTTAGAATTTTTTTTGTTTTTTCTTTTGTTTTTTCCTTTTTTTTTTCTTTCCTTTCATCTTCAACCTTTAGTTGGTCACCGGCGGCGACCAGCCAGAGGCTGGGGTCGACAAGGTCACCCCTCCCGAGGCTTGACCTCTCGAGCAATGGCTGGGCATGCAGCATGCACGGTAACAAATTTTTCGAGTGCAATCCAAATAACGAGGAACATTATCATTACCTTCCGATTTGGCACTTACTAGCACGGGACATTTGTGGCGGCACAAAGAGCGTAAATCCCATCGAGAGGGTCGTGTGGGTAGGCCCGCCGCGAAGTTTAGCCGCGTTTAATTAGCTGCCGGGCCACTGTCCAGTGGCTGCCGGCCGACGCTACGGCGTAGTTTTAAATTTAGATGAAAATTGACTGGTGTTTGACTTTCAAATTTTCGTTACTTGGCTAATATCGTCATTTCATCTTCTCCTCTTCCTTTCTCGCGAGCGGGGCTCACCGGCGACTTGCATGGATCCGACCGGAAGGCGTCCATGGTCCGACCTTCCGCCGGAGATCCTCTCCACGATCGGCCGGCGGCTCGACACCCGCATGGACGTCCTCCGATTCCGCGGCGTCTGCTCCTCGTTCCGCTCCACATCCCTCCGCCCCGCCGAGATCCGTAGACAATACCCACTCCGGATCCCGCGCCCGCAGAACCCGGAGGCCTCGTCCCTCCGGGTATACGAGCACGGTAGTGATGCACCTCGAGACAGTCGTATGGTCAGCTTCCTACGGCCAGTGCTCGGTTTACTTCATTGATGGAGAAGGGCAATTAGGTTATTGGAAGTACGGGGATGAGAATTGCAGCCATGTAGTTGATCCACAGGGCTGTGCTTATGATGACGTTGTAGTCTACGGAGGCAAAGTCTGCGTCGTCGATGGGTTGGGGTCGGTTTGGTCAGATTTAGATCAGTGCTCGGTTTACTTCATTGATGGAGAAGGGCAATTAGGTTATTGGAAGTACGGGGATGAGAATTGCAGCCATGTAGTTGATCCACAGGGCCGTGTTTATGATGACATTGCAGTCTACGGAGGCAAAGTCTGCGTCGTCGATCAGATACATCAGGCATGGTGCAAATGAGAGTGACCCAATGTACACTGAGAATATGAGAGTCTATAGATTGGATCAGCAATGTGGGAGATGGGAGGAGGCGAGAAGCTTGGGCAACTCGGCCTTCTTTCTCTGCAAGCTCTGCTCGTTCGCGGTCCCGGCGCGCGAGCTTGGTGGGTGCGACGGGAACTGCATCTATATGCCGAGAAGGCCTATTCCTACTTCTCGAGGGAAGACGTCAAGGTATTCAGCTTGGCGGATCGTAGCATCAGGTGGCTGGACTTTTCCGACTCCCTACCGGGCATGACGGCTCGCCATTGACGGGGGCCTCCCGGCTCGAGTAAACCGAAGCCGAAGCCGGCGATCGCCTTGCAAACCCGGAATGTACATCCTCAAGTAGGTTAGATCATGGTAGTCTCTGATCTCCTTTCTCACTAGTAAATACACAACTTCTGTGATGTCTGCTGTGGATCAGGATCTGATTTAAGCTTCTGATTTACTCTCTCAAAAGCTCCTGATAGAGGGGTTCAGTGTTCATGTGGAGTTGACTGGTATTGTCATTTGTCAGCTTCTGAAACGAACTTCAATCTGTCCGTCAAGACGTAAGTATACACAAGTAAAGTGGGTGGTCAGTGTATATATGGACTACACTAGCAACACAAGTTACCCACATTTGTTATCGCTGACAAAATTTAAAAAAAAAAGTTGATGAAAAAATATGTTATTTAGGTTCCTCGACGCAGTTTATACCCAGAAAATAACATTAATAGTTCTTAAATTATGGCCCAATGCACAATATCATTTTTTGAAATTTTAATTCGATTAATGTGATAATTGAACTATTCTTAAATGTTCAATGTAGTCCTTTTATTTGCCCAAACTTGAGAAAAAGTTACCTTAAGTCCCTAATTATTGCGAATTGTGTAATACCTAAACTTTTAATTTGTTCAATTTAATCCATCGCTTTTCAGAACAAAGTTAAATCGGCCTTTTGGAATTATTCATAAGTTTTCGTGATTATATAGTTGCCTAGATTTTAGAATATATTTTCATTTAAATCTATTTTCTAAATTAATAAAAAAAAATGTAGAAATTGTTGTTTGCGAGCATGATTAGGTTTTGCGAGAATTATTTTCAGTTGAATGTGCCCAACTCGAAGAAGATGATATTGTTCGAATCATTATGAGGACGTCGCTCGAAAGACACTTAGATATTTTCTTGAGTGTAATTTGTTTTTAATTGTTATTAGGACCTATCAGTGTAATGTTTTTTTTTTCAAATTTGAAGCTGTACTTGTATTTTGTTCGTGTTTGATTGGATAAGTGTTTTTCACAATCTTTTTCTCGATTAATTCTGGGATTATTTTTAATTTTAAAAATAAGAAATATAACCATTGAGTCATTGACCAACAATAACAACATTATATAGCTTTTACTGACGGCTACAACAAGAAAGAAGAATATGTCTAGTCAACTTATAAATAGGGCATCGATTCTCTACGAGGCATTCATAGAACGCAATTCATAAACCTCTCGTAAATCGACTATTGCAAGTTCGGGAACTCTTGCACTCTTTACAAATGGCCGATTGGGTAATCGACCGAGAGGACGAGGCACCGTCCGTAGGAGTTGTTCGAGATTAAAGAAATCCTGGATCGTAACCGTTTTGCACAATGTGTAAATAGCATTGGCAAATATATGTGGACAATGTAGCAACGAGACGGAACATATTTAGTAGCGCAGAGTAGGAGTGCGCAAAGGAACCGGAAACCGATCAGATCAGTCGAGAACCGGTAGCTCCTATGGGAACCGGTCCAGTTCCAATATGGTAGGTACTAGTCCGGTTCCTGATTCCACGTGTGGACCCGCCTATAATATTTTTAATTTTTAATTATTTTAAAAAATGAAAACTCCTAAAACCTAAATCTCGTAGTCATTCCTCAGTCTCTTGTCTCTATTCTCGGTCGCTCATTCTCATCTCGGTTTGACTCTCTACTTTCTGTCGTCTCAGACACACTCTCACCTCGATCTCTCCATCTCCGTCTCTCGACAGTTAACTCACGATGAATATGAGGGTAGAGTTGTGTCCAATGGGTGTTGACCTCGTTCCTAGGAATTTTATTATGCATTTTGAAGCTAATTGTAATTAATAGACCCAAATAGCCGTTATGATGTTCGAAAGAGCATTTCAAATCGCATGACTTCTGCATCATAACATTTTAGATGGAAGGCTCACTTGTCACTTGGACAAGAAAAAATCGGCGAAATCAAACGGCAGAGGACAGTTCTGTATAGTTTATACCGAAGATACATCGTATACGTGCATTAAGGTCAAAGTCGAAGCAGTGGTGAAGTGGTGACCCGAAATCACAATCCATCAAACAAGAACACTGATGCTTTCTTCCATTTTCTAGACAATAAAAAATCTGAAGCCACATAATTTTTCTACAATTCATACACTAGATCGATTATATTAACACATCATCCATAAATCGACCAACCCATTTTCTGATTTTTTCAATTAAAAATTAAATTAAATAAAATATATTATTATTATATTATCGTCGCCGTTGGTGGGATCGATTTCATGAACCATTTAGAATCCGAATCCGGTATGGAACGGGAGAGAGAGGAGGCCTTGAACGGGAGATTTGCAAGCCACGTAGGATCGCAATTGGTCACAGTTAAAACGGTCGCTGCCTCTCATGGTCTTTTCGGTCCCAATTCCCACGACTCACATGGCCTGTCTCCCTCCCTCTGTCTAGTGCGCTCGCGGCGCTCGGCGCAGCTTCACTTCGCTCGCGCTGTCTCGCTCGCGGCGCTCGCCCCAGATTCGTGCCTTGCTCGGCTAAGCTTCGTCTCGGCTCGTGCTTGCCTCGGCGGCGCCGCCTGCTCGCCTCGGGGCGTCTCGCGCTAAGGAAAAGTTGCCCCAAGGAGAACTTCAGGAAGCTCCCGAGTGAATATCTATCATGGCCTGCCGGCTTTTCTCTTGTCCGTGATTCGTACATCTTGAGATTTGTGGTTTCTGGAGTGTTCGAAATTTGGGTCCTTTTAGTGTACTGACAAGTTGGTGTCAGAAAAACGCGACTAGAATCTCGCTTCGGTTCAACCTTTTGTTCTGCCGCACTGCTCCTGCACATCGGCACGAGGGAAACCCCGGTCCGGACCTCCTCGGCCACGTCGCCGCGGCAGTACATTCTCGACCGCTTACATCCTAGCGTGCCCATGCATGCAAACGTTAAAACCACGGGAGATAAAAACACATGCATGCAAAGGTCAGCAGGATCGGACGACTTGAACAGTTGGTGGAGGAGAGAGAGAGAGAGAGAGAGCAAAGGAAAAAGAATATTTTCTCGCGGGAGGGCGGCGGACAATGGGAAAGGAGAAGCACCTTTTTTGAAAAGGATGGATGTCTTCTATTTTGTCCGTGGGGGGGCCCTCTTCTCTCTCTCGTTCTTGGCGCACTCCCGTTCTTGGGAGATTTCTTTGACTCACCGGCGGCTCGCATGGATCCGACCGAGAGACCTCCATTGTCCGACCATCCACCGGAGATCCTCTCCATGATCGGCATGCGGCTCGACGACCACATGGACGTCCTCCGATTCTGCAGCGTCTTCCCTTCGTTACGCTCCTCGTTCCGCCGCTGGGCCGCGCCGTTACCTCTCCGGAACCCTACCCCACAGAGGCCCGCCGTCTTCCTCCGCGCGAGCACGGTCTGCACCCTCGAGACGCCGGAGGGAGGAGCCGCCTCCGGTCGCGCGCGGTGGCTGCTGAAGCTCGAGGAGGCGGAGCCCGGGCGCATGCGGATCCTCAGCCTCTTCTCGCAGCGGAAGATCGCGTACTTGCCCCCTGAGTTCCCGAGGGTACTCGATTCTCCCCAATTCCGAATTGTTGCGGTCTGTAGACAATACACGCTCGATGATGGCCGCGGAACTGAAGGCCTCTTTCCAGATGTACAGAAAGTAGTGATGCATCCGGATAGTGTTTGGTCTGATTTAGGTCAGTGTTTGGTTTACTTCATTGATGGAGTAGGGCAATTAGGTTATTGGAAGTACGGGGATGAGAATTGCAGCCATGTAGTTGATCCACAGGGCTGTGGTTATGATGACATTGTAGTCTACGGAGGCAAAGTCTGCGTCGTCGATGAGTCGGGGTCGGTTTGGCAGATCGATTCGTCTTTCAGACTTCAAAGTTTCTCCCCGCCGATCTACTGCGCCAACTGCCGCCGTGGCAGTGGCAGCGGCTATTGGATGCATTTGGTGGTGTCGAGTGGCGATCTTTATGTAGTGGAAAGATACGTTAAGCGCGGTGCACACGTGAGGGCCCCAATGCGTACTGCGAATACGAGAGTCTACAGATTGGATCGACGATTTGGTGGGAGATGGGAGAAGGTGAGCAGCTTGGGCAATTCGGCCTTCTTTCTCTGCAAGCACTGCTCGTTCGTGGTCCCAGCGCGCGAGCTCGGCGGGCTCGACGGGAACTGCATCTACTATGCGGAGGAGGAGGCCAATTCCTATTTCTCGAGTGAAGACGTCAAGGTGTTCAGCTTGGCGGATGGTAGCATCAGGTCGCTGGGCTCTTCCGACTTCCTACTGGACATGACGGCTCGCCATTGACGAGCGCCTCCCTGACTCGAGTAAAACCAAAGAAGGCGGCGATCGCACTGCAGACCCGAAATGTAAAATCCGCAAGTAGGTTAGATCATGGTAGTCTCTCATCTCCTTTCTCACAAGTAAATACACAGCTTTCGTGTTGTCTGCTGTGGATCAGGATCTTGATTTAGCTTCTGATATCCAAGAGTTTACTCTCTCAGAAGCTCCTGATAGAGGTTCGGTGTTCATATAGAGTGGACCGGTACTGTCACTTGTCAGCTTCTGAAATGAACTTCAATGATTCAAGACAGAAGCATGCACAAGTGAAATGGGCGGTCAGTGGATACATGTACTATACTAGCAAAAGAAGTTACCCATATTTGTTGTCGCCGACAAAAAAAATGTTATATAGCTAGGTTCTTCGACGCAATTTCTTAAATCTTGGCTCGATGTATGATATTATTTTTAAAATTTTAATTCAATTAAAATGGCCATTGAATTATTTTTAAATATTCAATGTAGTCTTTTTATTTTATCAAACTTGAGCAAAAGTTACTGTAAGTCTATAATTATCTAATTATTGCGAAATGTGTAATCTAATATCTAAACTTTCAATTTGTTCAATCTAGTCTATCCCTTTTCACAACAAAGTCAAATCGGTTGATTGGACTTATTAGCAAGTTTTCATGATTATATACTTGCCTAGATTGTAGAATATATTTTCATTTCAATCTATTTTCTAAATTAACAAAAAAAATGTAGAAGTAGTTGTTTGCGAGCTTGATTAGGATTTGCAAGAATCATTTCGAGCCAAATGTGCCCAGCGCAAAGAAGACTGTGACAGTGTATCATTCGAATCATTTTGAGGGATATCGCGCGAAAGACATTTAGATATTTTCTTGGGTGTAATTTGTTTTTAATTACCTATAAGTATAATGTTTTTTTTTTTCAAATTTAAAGATGTTTATTCGTGTTTGAGTTTTTTTGGTCAATATTTGTGTTTGATTGAATAATTGTTTTTCACAATTTTTTCTCAATTAATCTTTTGATTATTTTTAATTTTAAAAATAAGAAATATAACCATTAATCAACAACTACATTATATAGATTTACTGACGGCTGCAACAAAAAGGAAGAACGTGTCTAGTCAACTTATAAATGGGGCATCAATTCTGTACGAGGAGAACACAATTCATAAATCTCTAGTAAATCGACAATTGCAAGTTCGGAAACTCTTACGCTCTTTACGAATGGCCGATTTCAACGTCGCTGCACCTTAATTGGGTAATCGACCGATAGGGCGAGGCACCGTCGATAGGAATTGTTCGAGATTAAGGAAATCCCAGATCGGTAACCATTGTGCACGACGTGTAAATAGCATTGGTAGATTTATGCGGGCAACACAGAGACGAGACGGGACATATTTAGTGGCACAAAGAGCGTAAAGCCCATCAAAGAGGGGCGCGTGGTTAGGCTGGAGAAAAAATAGAATGAAAACTAATGAAGGGTAAATTTGTCACAAGTATACTAATTTTAGATTTTTGGTTGTAATAATCCAAACTATTATTATTTTTATATTTCTTGCAATTTTTATTGAATATGGCGATCTACGAATTGAAATTTTTCTGAATTTTTTACGAACATCAGTTACTCTTCTCCTCCTCCTTCACCGCACAAGCGGGCCGACCGCCGGCGACTTCGATGGACGTCCTCCAGTTCTGCAGCGTCTGCTCTTCTTTCCGCTCCTCGATCCCTCCGCCTCGCTGTTCCCTCTCCAAATCCCTCACTCGTGGGGCTCCTCCGCCTTACTTCGCGAGAGTGCGGTCTGCGTCCTCGAGATGCCAGACAAAGCTTCCGATTCGGTCCCCCCGAGTCCTCTTTGCCGTCTTCGGTGGTTGGTGATGCTCCAGGAGTCGAGCCTCAGCGGCGACGTGCAGCTCCTCAGCCTCTTCTCGTAGCGGCGAATCGCTTACTTGGCCCGCAATTTCCCCAAGGTAATCGACTCTCTCAAATCCAAGATCGTTGAAATCTGTAGAGTGTACAGGCTCGAGTACAGCACATTGGGCATCGTTCTCGGTATAAGGAAAGTAGTGGTGTCCCAGATTGTGTATGAACTGATCTAGATGAACTTGAGGTTTATTCAATTGTAGAGCATGGGCGATTAGGTTGCTGGAAGTATGGGGATGAAGGATTGGACCTATTTGGATGATCAACATGGCTATTCTTATGACGACATTATAGTGTATGAAGGCAAAGTCTGTGTCGTTGATTGGTTTGGGACGGTTTCGCTGATCGACTCATCATTCGGGACTCAAATGTTCTCGCCATCAATCTGCAGCAACGGCGGCAATTGCAAACATTTGGTGATATCGAGTGGCGATCTGTATGTTGTGTATAGGGTTGAAATATAACGCGGAAACGGCAGGATCTTGTAAATTAAGTCAATGCGAAAAATACCAGAGAAATAAACGAGGAACGATAAACGACATCAGAGATTTACGTGGTTCGGTTCGAATATGCATTCACGGAAAGAGCCAGCAATAAATAATCTACTATAATCGGAGAATCAGAGTTCCAATTCACTCAAATGCTCGAGTGTTTTTTACACCTAAATTTAAGTCCAAATCTAAAATGTTTACAAATAAATAACTCAATTAGACAATATAAATTTACTGCACGGATCACCGCGTGTTCAAACTCATAGCAAAACACTCACGTACGATCAAAATCATGAATGTCGTGCGTACTTGACTTTTGTTCTCGCGCGGCGTCCTTCCCTGAGAGCTTCGTGGGCGTTCTCGCCTTGTGTGGCTCGCTCATTACCCTATTCTGTTTGGCAACATGTTCATACATATATATATATATATATATATATATATATATATGTGTGTGTGTGTGTGGCAGAGTCCTCCTTTTCTACGTCTCTATTAGAAGGAGTCCATGTACGGTTCCGCAGGAGATAAAAGCAAAAGAACCCTTGCTTTCTTTCTTGCTCAGACAATGACTGTTTTACCCTCACAAAAGAAATAGATATAATAAAATAAAGTGTGCCCCTCCCTCTTTTAGTGGCCTTCATTATTTTTCTACCTGTGCTGCCGAGAGCCCCTAAATCCGAAATCAGCCATATACATGAGCGGGTTGAGAAGACCGTTGCTTTCAGAGTCTATAGATTGGATCGTGGGAAATGGGCAGAGGTGAGAAGCTTGGGCAACACGGCTTTCTTTCTTAGTAAGCATTCTTCATATGCAATCTCTATGCATGAGTTCGGCAAATGCCATTGGAATCGCATCTACTTCATTGGCCACCCCCCCCTCGTGAGACAAAGTTAATGTGTTCAGCTTGGAGGATCGCAGCATCAACTGGCTAGTCTTTTTTGACTTCCTAATGAGCGCATGGGGCACCTTCGATTTGACTCGACCGAAAGAGTACTTCGATTTGACCATGTTAGTCCTGAATATAATAAGATCTGAAATAGGTAAAGGTGCAATCTATCTGTATGAGAGCATGTCTCTGCTCCGGCATCTTGGGGTTTAGATTTTCCTTTCCCTAGTTTTGTAATGGCACATGTGCGTGCTTGAACATATCTTTCTCCTCCATACCAATAGAACAGAATATCAATAAAAAATTATCTGTGGTGCCTTTGTGAATGATCTTCTGATTTTGCTCCGACCTCCATTTCTTGATGACGCGCGGTGAAAATTCAACCATTCTCTGTAGCTCGGTAAATTCTCATACGGAGTCGTTGAGCTACCCTCCGTTTGGATTTTGGTGGCGACTTGCTTAGATCTGAAGCAGGGAATAACGCTTCGAGGAAGCAAATTCCATTGGTATGTGCATATGAGCGCGTGTTTCGTCTTGATGAATTCGCCATGTGAAAAACTGCCGTTGGCTAGCTGTGCTGAGCAATAGCAAAGAGTGAGTCTGAGGTCCTGAGAAATGGGTTGGCACTAAGGTTTATGCTGTCAAATAGTACTAGGACTTGGGCAAAAGGGGTGGAATGAGAGAGGATTGGAGATGTAGGAATGTGCAGGGGGCATTTGCCTGCTTTGCTTGTTGAGCTTGCACCTTATTAGAAGCATGCTGTGGTGAGATGTCCTAATGTAATATGGCCGCTCGGCTTGCTTCATCGGCTATGGAACACGTTTCCGCGGTCGAATTTACCGGTTTTCTCAATTTTCCGGCCAAAGGATCACTAGTTTTGCAAGTTTGTCGGGCGAATGGGATGGTGTCTCGCATAATATGTCTGGTCGGGCATCGCACGAGCTTTTTTGGCTCGAAAAAATCATTCGGAAGAGGATGGAGCTTAGATTTGTTTAGGGTAGAATGGAGAGAGAGAACGATACGGAAAAACCTCGCATCCCAGCCCATGTCCATATAGAGAAACAAAAATCGAGGGAAAAATTGGAAAGGAAAAAGAAAGGGGGTCCAAGATTCGAATTGCTACTTAGTTGGACTATAAGTGTCATGATTTAATTCACGGGCGAAATCTCTAGTTCGAGTCCAAAATGGCCGGACGATCATTGAGGCACGTATCTCTTTATATGATTATTCATTGGGATATTTGATACATCACGTGTTATGCGCGATAAGTCTACATGCCATTCGCATCTGAACACAAAATCTCCCAAAGGTGGGGGGCCTCACAAGGCGCAATTGAGATTCAAACATTTCGTCGTTTTTTCCTCGGGCAATCCGATCTGCCATTCTCTCTGGAAACATGAACCAGCGCGACCCATGCGTGGTGAATTCACGGGGGAGCTGCCGAACATTTTAACAGCGTAGGCCGGACGGATGCACGGGACCGCCGATTCTCGAGACGGCGCGGATATTGAATTAAACGGATTTTAATTCGGCATGAACGGGTTTCGATGTCTCTTACGAATCGATCCGCTTATTTTAGACATCACTTGTCGTGTTGAAGTGAACGCATTGACTTAAGCAGATTTTAATTCGGCATTTCAATCCCTTATTTGAAATAAAGTCCACTTTGAGTTATTCTTTAAGAGAGTTAGGAAACTTTAGGCATTTATTTAAAATCATTGATAATCTTCTTATCCCTTCGGAAAATACGAAACACTTCGAATTCTTATTTGGATTTTTTTCAAAAACCAACATAGCTCAATCGGGCCCAGGCCCGGCAAGTGGGATGGCACCAGAAAATTCCGTGCCTAGACCAGTGGCCACCGCTTCGCTAAACCTTTCAGATGAAAAGTTGATGGGAAAATTACAAAAAAATCCTAAACCTATTGTAATTGTGTTAATTCAATTCTAAACTTTTTTTATGCCAATTCAATCAATCCGACTAATTTTAACTGGCCAGCGCCGGCCGTCCAGCCAACACTAATGTGGTAATTTTTTAATTTTAATTTTTCTTTTTCCTTTTCTTTCTTCTTTTCTCTTTTTTTCCCAATATGCCAACAAGTGAAGGCTGCGAAGCCCTCATCGACCGCCAGCAAGGGTTGTGGCCCTTGCCATGGCCTCGTAGGTTGCGAGCGAAGTCAGCCTCGCTTGGAGCCGACGAGGCCATGGTGAGGCTTCCTTTGCCCGGATCTTGGCGAGGCGGTCGATGGAGGCGGTACATTCGAACCTAGCATCGCCTTGATCCTTCCAATTTCGATGAAATGCATGACCCATACCACACAAACACACAGAGAGACAGAGAGGGGTGGGGCGCCTTGAACGGGGAGGTTTACAAGCCACATAGGTTCGCAGTTGGTCACCGCCTTGCTAGGGCCTCATTAGCCGCAAGCGAGGCCAACTTCACCCGCGGTCCCAGGCCTCGCCTAATGGTCGGCAAGCTTCTCCATGAGGAAAAAAAAAATAAAAGAAGAAAGAAAAGAAAAATTAATAAAAAAGTAATAAAAATTCGAAAAAAATAATATTGAAAAATTGTAGCATCATCGTCGGCATTGGCTGACGTCCATGTCATTCCCAATTGGCCAATACTAATTGGATAGACTGAATTGATACAAATGTAAAAGATTTAGGATCGAATTGACAAAAAAAAAATATTTAACACTAAAGCATATTTGCAATAAATTTATGATTTTTTTTTTGTAATTTTCCCAAAAATTGACTGATAATTGACTCATTTCTTTGGATTCTCATACTCACGCAAACATCGCTACTTCTTCTCCTCCTCCTCCTTCGCTGCGCGAGCGGGACGACGACCGGCGACTCCGATGGATCGAACCGGAAGACGTCCATGGTCCGATCTCCCGCCGGAGATCCTCTCCATGATCGGCAAGCGCCTCGACGCTCGCATGGACGTCCTCCGGTTCCGCAGCGCCTGCTCTTCCTTCCGCTCCTCCATCCCTCCGCCTCGCCGCGACGCCTCGCGGTTCCCTTTCTCGATCCCTCACTTGCAGAGCGCGAGCTCCTCCGTCATCCTCTGCAAAAGCGCCGTCTGCGTCCTCGAGACCCCGGGAGGAGCCTCCGATTCGGGCGCCCCGAGTCCTCCTCGATCCCGGTGGCTGGTGAAGCTCCAGGAGTCGAGCCTCGGCGGCGACGTGCAGCTCCTCAGCCTCTTCTCGCAGCGGCGAATCACTTACTTGCCCCGCAATTTCCCCAAGGTAATCGACTCTCTCGAATCCAGGATCGTTGAAATCTGTAGAGAGTACAGGCTCGAGTACAGTACATCGGGCATCGTTCCCGGTATAAGGAAAGTAGTGGTGTCCCCAGATTGTGTATGGACAGATTTAGATGAACCCGGGGTTTATTCAATTGTTGAGGATGGGCGATTAGCTTGCTGGAAGTATGGGGATGAGAATTGGACCTATTTGGATGATCAACATGGCTGTTCTTATGATGACATTATAGTGTATGAAGGCAAAGTCTGTGTCGTTGATTGGTCCGGGGCGGTTTCGCTGATCGACTCGTCATTCAGGGCTCAAAAGTTCTCGCCATCAATCTGCAGCGACGGTGGCGGTGGCGGCAGCTGCGGCGATTGCAAACATTTGGTGGTATCGGGAGGTGATCTGTATGTTGTGGATAGATACCTTGGCGGCAATCTAGCCAGATTCGATATTGATGCTTTTATGGATGATTTTCCATACCCTAGTTTTAATGAGACATTTGATTTCAGAGTCTATAGATTGGATCAACGATGTGGGAAATGGGCGGAGGTAAAAAGCTTGGGCAACATGGCTTTCTTTCTCAGTAAGCACTGTTCATATGCAATCTCTATGCACGAGCTTGGTGGATGCAATGGGAATTGCATCTACTTCATGGAGAACACCGATTCCGATGTTAATGTGTTTAGCTTGGAGGATCGTACCATCAAGTGGCTAATCTTTTCCGACTTCCTAATGAGCACACAGGGCACATCCGACTTGACTCGACCAAAACAGATGCCTTCCAGGTCCGAAGAGTACGTCGATTAGACCATGGTAGTCCTCAATATAAGATTCGAAATAGATGGAGGTGTAATTTATCTGTATGTGAGCATGTCTCTGTTCCGGCATCTTGGGGTTTAGCTTTTCCTTTCCCTAGTTTTGTAACGGCAGTGCTTGAATGTATCTACTCTCCTTCATACTTGTATAATAGAGCAGAATATCAATACAAAATAATTTGGGTTGCCTTTGTGAATGGTCTTCTGATTTCACTCCTAACCTCCATTTTCTTGATGACCATAGTGAAATTCAGGCATTCTCAGCAGCTCGATCAATTTTCATATGCAGCCGTTGAGCTACCTTGCGTTTGGATTTTGGTGGCAACTTGCTTAGATTTGAAGTAGGGAATAACGCTTCGAGGAAGCAAATTCTATTAGTATGGGCATTTGAGTGCGTGTTTCGTCTTAATCAATTTGCTATGTCAAAAACTGCTGTTGGCTAGCTGTGCTGAGCAATGGCAAAGAGTGAGTCTGAGTTCCTGAGAAATGGATCGGCATCAAGGCCTATGCTTTCAATTGTACACTTGGGCAAAAGGGGAAATGAGATAAGATTGAAGATGTGGGAATGTGCAGGCGACATTTGCCTGCTTTGCTTGTTGAGCTTGGACCTTAGCAGAAGCATGCAGCTTTCAATATATGGCCGCTCAGCTTACTTCATCGGCGGTCAGATTATCGGCTTTCTCAGTTTCCCAGCCGACCACGCAGAATTGCTAGATTTGCAAGTTTGTCCAGCGAACGGGTGACAGGGTGGTGTTTCCTGGTTGCCGTTGGGAGTTTGAACTTAAACCAGATGAAATAGTTGGCAGTGATTTCGCAAAATGTCACATGGTATCAGAAGGTCCCAGGATATTTGATGCGTCGGCTCTCACGCCCGTGTTAGGCGCGATAAATATTGAATCCATTCATTTGAGCGGAAATATTTTTCATCCGAGACGATATTTTATTAGAGTTCAAATCACAATAGATGAATACATGTCATTCACATCCGAATATAAAATCTCCCAAAAGTGAGGCTATGATGCCCAATTAAAACTCAGACATTTGTCACGTTTTGCTCGTGCAATCCAAATCTGCCATACTCTTGAAACATGAACCCGGGATTGCAGATTCTCAATGCGACTCGGATACGAAATTGAACGGATTTTAATTCTACATAAATGAGTTTCGAAATCTCTTACAATTTGACATGCTTAATTCGTTTTAGACACCATTCGACGTCATTTTGTAAATACGTTAGCAGGTCAATTTGTTTTACATGTTACTATGTTACTATTAAACGCGCTTTAAAATTAACTTTATAGACTTGTTTATCCCTAAAAATTCATCAAATGAGACCCATATTAAGCAGAACGAAACGTAAAAATAGAGATGTATTGAGGGTACAAAAGTAATAAGGGCATTCAGAAAACCCTAAGTTAACCAAAACTCAAAGACCAGACTCAACAGTTAAAACGGTCGCTGCCTCTCATGGTCTTTTCGGTCCCAATTCCCACGACTCACACGGTCTGTCTCCTTCCCTCTGTCTCTTGCGCTCGCGGCGCTCGCCCCATATTCGTGCCTTGCTCGGCTAAGCTTCGTCTCGGCTCGTGCTTGCCTCGGCGGCGCCGCCCTCTCGGCTCGTGGTGTCTCGGGCTAGGGAAAAGTTGCCCCAAGGAGAACTTCAAGAAGCTCCTGAGTGAATTCTTTTCATGGCCTGACGGCTTTTCTCTTGTCCGTGATTCGTACATCTTGAGATTTATGGCTTCTGGGTGTTCGAAATTTGGGTCCTTTTAGTGTAATGACAAGTTGGTGTTAGAAAAACGCGACTAGAATCTCGCTTCGGTTCAACCACAGGATCGGAACAAGGTATGGATCTCTCTCTCTAATGGTCGTTGCCTCTTCTAAGCATATCTTTTAGGGGACGATTCAATAATTTGAGAAATTGTTCGAACCTCACGGGGTAAGGTCGAGTTTTGATGAGGGGTTTGGCTTCATCTCTGCTCTGGTACATGCTGACTTAGTTCTCTGAAGTTTTTAGTGTTTACATTGAAGGAAAATGTTGCTGATATGAAGGGAAGCAGTAGCTAATAGCCGTAGAGCATGATGTAATTGATTCTCTAGAAAGTAGTGGAGATGCATGAGTTTAATTGTCGGGAGATTGGAGAAAAATCCACTGAACTAGTGGAGTGTATTGCAAGCTTGCAACCTGCAATGCGAGGTTAAATTCTCACACCGAGGAAGAAATTTATGGCTAAAACCGAGTCTTTGGCCCAGCGGAATTTGCCCTAAGACCGTAAAGATTGATGCTTTGGCATAGCTCACTGGGCCCATTACCCGCCATTCTCTCAGTGGCGGGAACATTTGTCTTGAAAATGTCTTGTGAGAATCGCTGTGCATCAATAATATCTATTGATATTTCCTTATCTTGTGCCTCAAAGTTGACTATGAGTTTGAGGGGTTTTGGTTAAGACTTCTCTGTAGAGATTTGCTGAGTTTGCTGAGTTTGTAGAAATACCAAAAACCAGGTGGGTTTAGTGCTGTGCTTCTGGACTTTGCTCGTGTGTCTAACCTATAGAGTCAATAACAACAGTGCTCTGAAGTTCTTCACTCGAGAACATTGTTTTTACACTTGTAGTTGTGAATCTGGTTGGCTCTCACTAAACTTGGAGCAATATTAGCATGGACTGTCACAACACCAAGTACCTGCAGTAGATGAATCATTCCCACTTGAAAGGAAGAAAAAGCTGGAGTTTTCTTTTATGACCACTATGTCAGGCTTAGCCGTGAATTTCTGATTACATGTGGAATCATCCATTTCGGAGGCACATAAAGCACTAAGATCAGCAATCTTGTGCGATCCAACTGATATTGCCATAACTCCTAAGATTATTTTCTGTTGATTAAGCATCACCTAGGAATCAACATTTAGGGCATCGATTTTATATCAAATCATTTTACTTCAGTCATTATCAAAATTTTCGGTTTGATGATATTCTTTCTTATTTTAGTTTGCTTCAGTGTGATGAGCTGAAATTAATTGGTTTGGATTTCTTCTTAGTTATTATTGCATAAGAGAATTTTTTCTTAGATATTGGTGTTAGTGGTTGATACTTTTGTACACTAATCCTTGATTTACTAACCTTCGCTAATCTTCCACCTTTACCCCCCATCCCACTGGGACTTTGGGGTAGTCTTTGTCAATGGGGCCTAGATGGAAAGGAAAGGGTGCAGAGGTCAGAGCACAAGCAGATCCAATGTCCGAGATCGTATCGCGGCTCAAGTCATCTTTGATTGAGTCAAATGCTCATGGGTCGCTGTCAGGTTGCTCTGTTCTTCTTGCAGTAGAGGCAGATCAAAGTGATCTTCTAAATCGGGCATGTTTTGGCCGACCGGTAGTCACAGTTGAGAAGGACAAGCAGTGGTTTCAATTGAGTATGGAGGAAGCCTTTTACCTTTGCTATACCCTCAAATGCCTCGACATTCACGGTGGAAATAATTGTCGAAAAACCTATGAAGAGTTATGGAAATACATGACGGATAAGAAAACTACATTCCCCCAATTTTTCAAAGCTTATTCTCATCTTCGGACGAAAAATTGGGTGGTCAGGTCGGGATTGCAGTATGGCGTAGAATTTGTTGCGTACCGGCACCATCCGTCTCTTGTCCATTCTGAATATGCTGTGCTCGTTTTGACAGAAGGGGATGGTGGCGAGAATGGGCGATTGAGGGTATGGTCAGATGTTCATTGTACGGTCCGTCTTTGCGGGAGTGTAGCGAAAGCGGTCTTGGTGCTTTACATCAAGTGCGGTCATGGCAATGCATCTCCTTCATGTGTGACTCTGTACTCTGTGGAAGAGCGAGTCATAGCAAGATGGAGCCCAAAAGATTGCCGTGAAGATCATTCCATCGCGGTTAATGGCAATTGACCGAGCAGAGAATTTCATTTTTCTTCCTTTTTGTTTCTTGTTTTTTGGGATATAAAGACAATGGTAAAGACCATGCGAACCATTTTGTGATTATTAAGGAAGACTGAAATTGTAAATATCGGATTTTGTACATGAATGGAATCAGAAACTAGTAAATTTCTTTTGCAGGGTCATTTGCGATAGAATACTAACTATGATAGTTCCTATGAAAGCAGTTTATTCACTTGAGAGTGAATTTTATCACGACATTATGCAACTCCAGTGGCTTAAAGCACTATAGATGTTTTCAGTCAGAATCACATATGCACCAGTCCGTCACCCAAATTGGCGGACTGTGGTGTGGCAAATTGGCTGACTTTTCCCTTTTTTAATGTGTTCAATTAGTAATTTTGCAATGCTAAGAGTCCTAAAAATCGGTTTTTAACTTAACCTGTGACCATATAAGATTGACTCATGAAACCTCTAAATTGCAGTTACAACTCTCTCTGTTCTTTGCTTTTCCTTGATTGAAAATAAGAAGATTTTGCTCCTTTTCAGTTTTCACAGCTTCGATTCGTTCAGTTGCTCCTCACACTCCACAGTTCAGACTTCAATCTTCTCAACTTTGCTTCGGAAACTCTTGGACGGCTGCCTCCAAAGGTAAGTGCAATAACCTATTAGATGGAAGTGATTTCTCGTATTGTCCCTTTTGCTTTTATTAAGCTGAAAATGCATTTTTTTTCCATCTTCCAATTTGGTGTATCGAGTGTTGTTTCACTGCCTGTTTGAATGAAAGAACCAATGGACATGCAAGGCATAACTTTACGATACTATTGAACTTTCTGGCTCACATGTGGAAAATCAAGCCATGTTGTGATTAGCAATACTTGGTATTTTTTTTTTGGTAACCGAGGATTCGCCACCATTTCCCGGGGACGAGCCCGCACAGGTAATCGGGGCGCCTATACCTCGGGGGAGACTAGCCCAGCAACCCACTGCCAGGGCCCCCCACTTAAATTACGGAACCGAGCGGGGATTCGAATCCAGAACCTCTCTGAGGGAAGGAAAGCGCCCACCAACTCGGCCATGCGCAGGTGGGTGCAATCCTTGGTATTTTGTTAGTCAACTATTAAAAATTTATGCTTTGTGAGAGACATGTCACATGTCCTTAAATTGAAATTTTTCTGGCATTCCTTTTAGTTGTTTTGTTGAATTGGCCGACACACCTGGTGGGATTAGGCTTGGTTTGTTGTTTGTTTCGTTGTTAGCTCGAACTGAGTCACATGATTCTGATAGGTGTTTGAAATGAATAGTTCCTGTACTCTAAAATGTGTGTAGGTTGTTGGGAATGGTTTTCTTGTTCTGGTCTTGACCTTCTGCAGAACAACAGAAGCAATGCGTTAACAAGTAAGATTAACTCTGATTCTGATTTTTTCCTGTCTATTGTGCTTTTAAAAAATCTGGTGCCTATGTTTTCTCACAGGAGTGGAAACTAAATTAACTTGTGTTGATTCACTCATTTATGATAGCGTGTAATGTATGGATGCCCAGGTCTGGTCCTTTCAACTATGATGCTAAGTATAAAGGGGCTACGGCGAAGGCTGTGTCGATCCTCAAGGAGGATGATGAACTCTACAAGGATGCGTTCTTCCTCAACCATGCTCATGTTTTAGTTGGTTCTGGTCGTGATTCCTATGAAAAGGGCAAGAATGCTCTTCAGAGTTGGAGGTCTGTTCATATGTTCCATGTGGGTGAAGCCTCGTACAAGTTTACATTCCTGTCCTGAGACTCGATTGCATTTGTAGGCATTTTGGGTTGAACTGGGCATTTGTTGATTCCAAGACTCAAGTTCAGAAGGGGGTGAAGTTTTGTGTTTGTGTCAAGGAGTTTCTGCCTTGGCTTGTGATGCCTCTTGAAGTGGTCTTTGTAAATGAAAGCCAGAAGTCTAAGAAGGGTGTGGCTTCCTTTCGTTTCGGCAGCGGTACACTTAAAGGTCACCGGCTGGTTGGTAACATCCCTTGACCTATAGTACAACATGGGTACTTATATGAATAAGTGTGGCTCAAATGTCAATAAATGTCATCTTGTGGCTTCCTGGTTATAATGATTTTTTGCAGCGATGCTTATGATGAATACTAGCTTTTACACTTCTTAGTTCTTATACCTCCTCTTTTCATGACCTATAAAAATTTCCTGAACCTCTGCATAAGCTCAGATGCATTCCTGAACCTCTGCATAAGCTCAGATGCATGTGTCAATGTTAGCTTGGAATAGTGTTGAGTGTCTTTTGGGCAACCTACACTATGTTATTCGTCAAGCTATTTTGCATCTCATGGATAACCCTTGAGTTGATTTTGTATGATTTGTGGAGTTCCATGTGACTATTGTTGGTCACTGTTCCTGTCATCTACAAGCATGTCTTGAGTTTTTGTTTTGGTTCTTCATTCTTCTTTGTGGTATGTTTTGCTGCTGTTACCTTAATTTTCAAGTTGTAGTGTGGATTTCAGTAGCTTTCTTCTCTAAAGTTTTGGATATACTATTTGCTTTGAGAGACATGGGGATCTGAGGAGTTGTTGGCAAAAACAGGACAGTGGACTGTATCACTAGTATATATCCTAATTAAGGAGTTGACTTCTCTGCTACCTTCTTAGCCTTGCAAGCAGAAAGCTAGTTATTTTATTGTCAAAATAAAGCATAAGCAATCATAAACCATGGCGGCAGACTAATTTAGATCCATATCTTTTCTAATCAGTTGCTCTACTAACGAATATGCGAATTGGGTGCATGCATACGTGTCCTTCCTCGCCCCATTCTAACCAAACTGTTTCAATATCTTCAATTTTTCTGATATTGTCTCGTACAGAAGTCGTTACTGCTTCAGTCTAGTTGGCAGCTCCTTTCCGGCCACAGATTTTAGGTCTTATCATCTGAAAGTTATAGCAAATACGATAATGCTAGCACTCATTAGACCTGTTGCGTGGAAATTGAGTTCATCTTGCCACAGCTCTTAGGCTGATGATGACAATGGGCTTATCAATTGGGTCTTCGAGAGTTCGTAATGCCTCACCCTTTGATTATTGTTAAGCTGTCTTGATCTTGTGACAAGACTAGAGATGGACAACCTTTTCATCTTCCATTTATCATGTCATTTCATCATCTTCGAATCTTGATAAGAACCCCTACCACATATTACTCAACATTGTTACATAGTCTGTTTCCATTATCTGACGTGGCATTTAACACCAGGCTCACCTCTCAGTTTCTCCTACTTGAAAATGTTTTCTTTGGGTGTAGGACCAAGTTTTATTCGTAGAACATCAAGGCTTCTTGAATAATATGGCATTCCATTTTGCTGCAGGCTGGGGAAGAGAGCTTTTCGATGGAGCTGGACGAGAACAATCAAGTGTGGTATGAAATACTCTCCTTCTCAAAGCCTGCCCACTTTCTGTCTTTCATTGGTTACCCGTATGTACAACTCAGGCAGAAGTACTTTGCTCATCAATCTAGTAATGCTGTCCTGAAACATTTAAGAGCTTCTTAGCTACCTGTACTTAATGTTGGCAAGTTATGTAAAAGTGTGACATGATTATGTCCTCGTGACATATTTTTGCTAAATCAACGTCAGCCATAGATGCAAAATGGGATGCAATATGTTCTCACGATACATATCAGTGTGCATCTTCTTCTGTGCAAACACAATATGTATACTGAGTGAATGACATAAGCTGGAATGCCAACTGCAAGTTCCTATACATGAGGTTCGGAAATTGTGTAATATCTATCACACTTGAACAGGGACCAATCTAGATGCTGAAGTAATTGTATCTTCCATAAGTCTGCACTTTCATGCATAAGCTAAGTCTAATGCTAAATGGCATTAGAGACAATCAACTATCGCCAACAGGGGTCCATTGAGTAGTTTTTTTGGGCTCCAAGGGCTCTTATTAATGCTTGCTTGCTGTCTTAACCGAAAACTTCGCTTTGATGATAATCAAACTGCTAGAAATTGGAAGAATTTCATTTTGAATGGGGGTTCCCAGAGGCAATGCTGGAGAAAGTCTGAAGATCATTCCAACAACTTTTAGTTCCAAACGCGACTACACAGTCGCGAGACCTATCCTTGCTTGCCCGAGCTTCTCAACTGGATTTCATTTGTCATGTCTCGATTCATCCACGGTCCACGCCAGGTGCTGAACGCTGGATGTGATAACCCTCGAAGCAATCCAGCTTAACTATGTATACGGTTTATGCTGCCTAGAAAAGGTATGGTTATGACGAAACTAAACTGGTGTTAGATTGGCACAGCGGCTAGATGCTTAGACCTTTCGCCACATCACGGTGCCCCCTCTCGCCAAAGCCCTCACACAATCTCTTCAACCATCACCACAACTTCGAGCTCAACCACAGAAACGTCTGCAACCTCCTCTCCATAACCCGCTTGAGATCGCTCCCAAAAGGCCTCCAACTCCACGCCCACATCGTCAAATCAGGCATCCAGACCATCCCTCTCGTGTCACACCACCTCATCAACTTCTACTCCAAATCTCAGCTACCCTTCTGTTCCTGCCAAGTTTTCGACGAGACTCCTGGGAAAATCGGCATTAGCCCAGAACGAGTTTCCGTGGCAGGCCATTGAGTACTTTCGTCGAATGGTTAGTAGGTGCGTTTTGCGTGATGATCACATATCCTCTATTGGCGAGTGCCACCAAAGCTAGCGCGAATTTGAAATACGAAGGGGAAGTACAGAGCTTACAACACTCAACTTAAAAGCTTTTTATACTCAAAAGACAAATACTGAACTTAGGCAATATAATCTAATCCGATTTGTAATTCAAAACCTAAGTGAAGATCTAGTGCGAACTATCTTCTTCAAAACCAGATGGACTCCTTGATTGATGTTGTACAATTATTGTTCAAAGTGATTTTATTGTCTTCAGAGATTTGTGTACCGTGTTCTAGCTGATGTTGAGCTTCCTCTGCCTTTGATTTCTCCCATATCTTTAACGAATGTTTCGGTGTGCATCCTAAACTTCCTTCGCAAGTATCCAATCCTTTAGCCATGTTTATCCCTCGGTCGATGGATTCCTCTTGACTCGGACTTAAACTTCCTTTCACATCTCGAGTCGATTGGTGCTCTGGCACGTGTTGTAATTTCCATTTACACTCCGTCCACTAGAAAACTCACAATCGACAAGTCTTTCAAACATCCCATCGATAGTTTTGTGGTGGCCTTTGTGATCGACGTGCTTATTTAAGAATTCTAGTGAGTAGGTCTCATGAGTTAAGTGTATTGTTTTGATCAGGTTCGAGCCATTAGTTTCTTTATTTTGGGCTCGGATTTTGGGCCCGGTATCAAACAATGTCAACATCTCATTTGTGACGATGGTGCGAGGAAGATCTCGTGCGAGTCATAATGTGCTTGAGATCACAATGCCTATCATAACCATCTTGACCAGACCAGCATATGGAGTAATCCCACTTGTCTGCCACATAAACCGGCTATTACATCTTCGAAGAGAATGGATTTGTGCTAGACTCATAATCTATTTTTCCCAAGTTATATTAGGCAAAAAACAACTATCTTGAAATAGAAATTCGCCTATTAATGTCACGAATGTAGTTATTACAATGGAAAAAAAAAAAGATATGGATGACAAAATCGCCTCTTCAACTGCTTTAAGATATGAATTGAAAATATTGTCGGATGAGATAATTCGATATAAATTGAATTCGAAAAATACCCTAGATATTTATGGGATACGATAGAGGCTTACTTTGGCACCCGAACGAGAAAAGATTCGATTTTCCAAGATTCATCGTCAAAATTTAAAGGAAAAATCCGGAAGATATTTGAATGACATTCCGTTATCAAAATCGAAAAACGAAAATTCCCCTTCAAATTTTCTTTTATTTGATCGGAAAAGATAATCGAACTTCATCACTTCAAGTAGTTGCTTCGTTACAAAAAAGGCAAAAAAATACGGGGCCTCAGAAACAACGAGGTCCCATAAAGTACTAGGAGGCCTTGGCAACCCGGCCCGCAACTTTTGATTTGCTTCGCTCGAACAGTGGGCTGGACCGAAGATTTTTGAAATGGGCCGCCACTCCAATTTGCAGGGCCCACGAAGCTTTGATTGGTCGGTCACCGCCATTATCAGCTTCAAAAGCTATATAATATTCCAAAACTAGTAAGTTCAGGGAGAAGGCCCAAACCCTCCTCCTCCTCTTCTTCTTCTTCTTCCTTATCGAACGCTTCCGGTTTGCTCTTTCCTTCCTCGGCAGTCAGTGACCATGTCTCCTCCTCCTCCTTCTTCTTCTTCCCGCGACATCCGCGATCGCTCGCGCAGAAAACGCGGGAGAGCTGCTCGCATGGAGGGAACCCGGGAAACCCCCATGGTCCGACCTCCCGCCGGAGATCCTCTCCATGATCGGCGATCGGCTCCGCACCCGCATGGACGTCCTCCGGTTCCGCAGCGTCTGCTCTTCGTTCCGCTCCTCCATCCCCCCGCCTCCCCGCGACGCCCCGCGGTTCCCTCTCCGGACACCTCGCCCGTTCCCTCTCTGGATACCTGGCCTGCGGAGTTCCGACCTCTTCCTCCGCGAGAGCACGGTCTACGCCCTCGGGACGGCGGGCGGAGGAGCCGCGCAGTGGCTGCTGAAGCTCCAGGAGTCGGAGGAGCTCGGGCACATGCGGATGATCAGCCTCTTCTCGGGGCGGCGGATCACGTCCTTGCCCCCCGAGTTCCCGGAGGTAGTCGATCCTGTGCAGTCCCGAATCGTCGAAATCTGTAGAGAATACACGATCGATTACGGGCTCAATTGGTTAGCCGGCGGTCGACTTAAGGTGAAAGCAGTGATGCAACCGGATTGTGTAGGGTCTGATCTAGATCAGTGCTCGTTCTATTTCGTCGACGTGATAGGGCGATTGAGTTATTGGAAGTACGGGGATGAGAATCCAATCCGTTCAGGTGATGAGCTACCGCCGGGCAGCGGATATGCGGACATTGCGGTTTACCAAGGCAAAGTCTGCGTGCTCGACCGGCTGGGGTCGGTTTGGCAGTTCGATTCGTCCTTCCGACTTCGAAGGCTCGCGCGGCGGACCCCCCCCGGGGGCATCTCGCCGCCACCCTTTTTTTATAAGCACTTGGTGGTGTCGGGCGACGATCTTTATGTAGTGGACATACGCTGGAGAGTGTCGGATACCACGGTGTCGACGGCGCTTTGGGCCTATAGATTGGATCAGCAACGCGGGAGATGGGAGGAGGTGTGGAGCCTGGGCGGTTCGGCTTTCTTCATCTGCAGCCACTGCACGTTCGCGGTCGCGGCGCACGGGCTCGACGGGTGCGAGGGGGATTTTGCATCTACTACAAGGATGATCGGGGTCCCCTTCGACCGTTTCCAGCGGGAAAGGTTTGAGGCGTCCAGCTTGCCGGACCGTAGCCACAAGCGGCCCGGCGACTTCGCAGTGCTCTATTCTCCTTTCAGAAGGGGGCAATTCATAGGTGATTGGGATGACGTGGATGAAACTTTGTGGTGATTTACACTTTATTTTTAAGAAAATTAAAAATTAAAAAAAAAAACAATTAAGAATGTTGTTGAGGTTACCCTCTCGAATGAATTCGAAAATAAACGCAATTTATATATGGGGCAGTGTCTCTTGCGGTCCCTAAATTTTGTCATATGTACAAGTTATCTCTTTCAAAAGTTTAATTCATTCGATGTGGTGATTGAGCTGTTTCTTAATATTCGGTATGGTTATTTTATCCGATCAAACAAGTGAAAAAGTCGTCGCAAAAGTACCCAAGCTGTTGCGAAATGTGCTCCTAATCTCTCAACTTTCAATAACAAAGTCGAATAAGTTAGTTGGTATTATTCACAAATTTTCATAATCGCATTATTGCCCAAAATATAGATTGTGATCTCCATTTCTCCTAGTATAGGAATCCCAAAGTAAATTATGCTTATATGGAACTATGATAATATGTCCAAAAGATGATAAGAAGATAGCATATGTTTTTTTTTTTTTAAATTTAGGAAATAGATTGAAAACCGATAAATTTTGGTTGAATCTTGTACATAATCTTTTACGCCGATAAAATTTTCAAGCTTTGACGTTTCGTATTTTCTTCATTAAATTTAGTTAAATCTGTGTGTTTAATTTTTGTAAAAATATCATAATTTTGGATCATTAACGGTAGAGTTTCAAAACACACGGATTTAACTAAATCAAACAAGAAACCACCATGGCTTCAATTTTTTTTATATAGATTTAAAAAGTTTGGAACGATATTTAGATTGAAATTAGTAAGAATACTTATAAGTATTTTTTATACCGTTAAGAAATTAGAGTTAGACGCGGCAATAACAAAAGTACAAGATGCTATGCAAAACTAAAAGGAGAGAATTAGGGCTTTTAGGTCCATTTCGACATGGGGAATCAAATCAAAATCGGCCGGATAAGGTCGGTTTCGGTCCGGTTTCAAGGCTTGCTTTGGACCGGTGCTCGCTCTTACTTAAAATATAACTTTAAATAGAGTTCTACTTTTATTATCGCTATCTCCCTAATTACACACCAGCAGAGCCGGGACATTTTGCTCCCTAGAAATTACTAGGTAGGATGGCTCCATAAAGCCGGCAACTCTCGACACAGCACGATACGAAGCTAATCGGGCTTGATTTCGACAGAAAACGGATTTTACCTTCCCTTATGAGGCGACTTGCTTAATCCGTTGAAACGTCATTCGACACGTTTAAGTAATTGAATGACATGTATTTAACACATTCATTGTCAATTTTGCAGGGTCATTTGCAGTGGAATACTAACTTTGATTGATCACACGAAAACAATTTGTTCACTTGAGAGTGAATTATATCACGACATTATGGCACTATGCAACTCCTGTGGCTTAAAGTACTGTAGATTTTTTCTACCATAATCATATGTGCACTAGTCGATCACTCAAATGAGGCTTTCTTCTCCACGCCTTGTTTAATGTCATAGCGGCTGAACCCCCTCAAACCCTTCCATGTTCCCCCCATATGTTTATCTTCCTTGGGAGGAGAAGATTCGAGAATACTCCTTTGTGCTTTACATCCCCGGTTCGGATGAACCTTTGAAGGACTTGCCCAAGTCCTGGAATACTTAACTATGATGGATCACGTGAAAGCAATTTATTCACTTGAGGGTGAATTCCATCACGACATCGTGCAATTCTTGTGGCTTAAAGCACTATAGATGGTTTCTATCAGAATCCTGTGTGCACCAGGCGATGGCCCAAATCGGTGGACTGTCGTGTGGCAACAAATTGGCTGACTTTTTCCTTTTTGAATGTATTCAATTAGTTGTGTTTTTAAATGCGAAGAATCCTAAAAATCGATTTTTTAACTTAACCCACGACCATAAGACGGCAAGCCTCTGAGCTGCGGTGACACCGTTGGGCCGTTGGGCTTATTCCTGTATTGGGTCTGAGCCTGAGCTCATTCCGATGGCCACGACAATTCATCCATTCTCTCTCTGTTCTTTGCTTTTCCTTGATTGAAAATACGAAGATCTTGCCCCTTTTCAGTTTTCACAGTTTCGATTCGTTCAGTTGCTCCTCACGCTCCACAGTTCACAAGTCAATCTTCTCAACTTTGCTTCGCGAACTCTGGGACCGGTCGCCTCTAAAGGTAAGTGCAATAACCCATTTGATGGTGGTGATTTCCCGTACTGTCCTTTTGCTTTCAATAGGCTGAAAAATGCATTTTTTTTCGTCCTCCAATTTGGTGAATCGAGTGTTGTTTCACTGCTTGTTTGAATGAAAGAACCGATGATCATGCGAGACATAACTTTACGATGCTATTGAACTCTCTGGCTCACATGTGGAATTTCAAGCCATGTTGTGATTAGCAAATCCTGGGTATTTTGTTAGTCGAGTATTGGAAATTTATGCTTTGCGAGAGACATGTCACATGTCCTTAAATTAAAAAATTTTCTGGCATTCCTTTTAGTTTTTGAATTGAATTGCCCGACACACGTGGTGGGATAAGGCTCGGTTTGTTGTTTGTTTCGTTGTTAGCTCGAACTGAGTCACGTGATTCTGATAGGTGTTTGAAATGAATTGTTCCTGTACTCTAAAATGTGTGTAGGCCGTTGGGAATGGTTTTCTTGTTCTGGTCTCGACCTTCTGCAGAACAACAGAAGCAATGCATTAACAAGTAAGATTAACTCTGATTCTGATTTTTTCCTGTCTATTGTGCTTTTAAAAGATCCGGTGCCTATGTTTTTTTCGCAGAAGTGGAAACTAAATTAACCTGTGTCGATTCACTCATTTATGATAGCTCGTAATGTATGGATCACCCAGGTCTGGTCCTTTCAACTACGATGCTAAATACAGAGGGGCTACGACGAAGGCTATGACGATCCTCAAGGAGGATGGTGAACTCTACAAGGATGGGTTCTTACTCAACCATGCTCGTGTTTTAGTTGGTTCTGGTCGTGATACCTATGAAAAAGGCAAGAATGCTCTTCAGAGTTGGAGGTCTGTTCATATGTTCCATGTAGGTGAAGCCTCGTGCAGGTTTACATTCCTGTCCTGAGACTCAATTGCATTTGTAGGCATTTTGGGTTGAGCTGGGCATTTGTTGATTCCAAGACTCAAGTTCAAAATGGGGTGAAGCTTTGTGCTTGTGTCAAGGAGTTTCTGCCTTGGCTTGTGATGCCTCTTGAAGTGGTCTTTGTAAATGAAAGCCAGAAGTCTAAGAAGGGTGTGGCTTCCTTTCGTTTCGGCGGCGGTACACTTAAAGGTCACCTGCTGGTTGGTAACTTCCCTTGACCTCACGTACAACATGGGCACTTATTTGAATAAGTGTGGCTCAAATGTCAATAAATGTCATCTTGTGGCTTCCTGGTTATAATGATTTTTTGGAGTGATGCTTATGATGAATACTAGCTTTTACACTTCTTATACCTTCTGCTTTCATGACCAATAAAAATTTTCCGAACTCATGCATAAGCTCAGATGCACGTGTCAATGCTAGCTTGGATATTGTTGAATGTCTTTTAGGCAACCTACACTATGTTATTCATCAAGCTATTTTGCATCTCATGGATAACCCTTGAGTTGATTTTGTATGATTTGCGGAGTTCCATGTGACTATCCTTGGTCACTGTTCCTGTCATCTACAAGCATGTCTTGAGTTTTCATTTCATTCTTCTTTATGGTATGTTTTACTGCTATTACCTTAATTTGCAAGTTGTAGTGTGGATTTCAGTACTATGAGCTTTCTTCTCTAAAGTTTTCAATATACTGTTTGCTTAGGGGGACACGGGGATCTTGGGAGTTGTTGGCAATAACAGGACAGTGAACTGTATCCCTAGTATATATCCTAATTAAGCAGTTGACTTCTCTGCTGCCTTCTTATCCTTACAAGTTGAAAGCTCGTTATCTAATTGTCAAAAACCATGGCGGCAGACTAATGAGGACCCATATCGTATCTAATCAGTTGCTCTATTATTGAATATGCGAATTGGGTGCATGCACACGTGTCCTTCCTCGCCCCCCTCGTCCCCTTCTAAGCAAACTATTTCAGGTATCTTTAATTTTTCCGATATTGTCTCGTATGGAAGTTGTTATTGCTTCAGTCTAGTCGGCAGCACCTTTCCGGCCACAGATTATCATCTGAAAGTTGTAGCAAATGCGATATTGCTAGCTCTCATTAGACCTCTAGGAACACAAAGTTGCGTGGAAATTAAGTTCATCTCGTCACAGCTCTTAGGGTGATGACGACAATGGGCTTATCAGTTGGGTCTTCATGATTTTGTAATGCCTCAACCTTTGATGATTGTTAAGCTGTCTTGGCCTTCTGACAAGACTAGAGATTGACAACCTTTAAATTCCATTTGTCATGTCTTTTCATCATCTTTAAATCTTGATTAGAACCCCCGTCGCATATAACTTGGCAGTGTTTGCAAAGTCTGTTTCAATCATCTGACGTGGCAAACCAGGCTTACCTCTCAGTTTCTCCCACTCGAAAATGTTTTCTTTGGGCGCATGACCAAGTTCTATTCATAGAACATCAAGACTTCTTAAATAATAATGTGGCATTCCATTTTGCTGCAGGCTGGGGAAGAGAGCTTTTCGATTGAGCTGGACGAGAACAATCAAGTGTGGTATGAAATACTCTCCTTCTCAAAGCCTGCCCACTTTCTATCTTTCATTGGTTACCCATATGTACAACTCAGGCAGAAGCACTTTGCTCATCAATCTAGTAATGCTGTCCTGAAACATTTAAAAGCTTCTTAGCTACCTTTACTTTAATGTCGGCAACTTATGTACAAGTGTAACATGATTATGTCCTCATGACAACTTTTTGCTAAATCAACGTCATCGATAGATGCAAAATGAGATGCAATATGTTCTCATGATATCGGTTTTTGATACCAGTGTACATCTTCTGTGCAAACACAATATGTACACTGAGTGAATGATATGAGCTGGAATGCCAACTATCTGATGGTTTAAATTCGCTTTTACAACTGCAAGTTTCTATACATGA